AGTGTCATTGTTCTTTAAAAAAACGACACAGCTTATCAGAGAATTCCATCTCCGAGAGATTTGAAGACCTATAAAAAAATACCTAGAGTGAAGTAATTAAGCCTGTGAAACAAAACTTGACCATAAAAAAAAAAAAGTCAGAAAGACACAAAAGAAAACAATGCGCAATTGTTGCGTATTTTTAAAAAAAATTATTTTAAAAGTGTGTTAGTGTTCCTAAGATGTTGTATCAAACTCACAGGAATTGTCCATCCACAGGTTGGCTGCAGAATGATGCAGATGTTTTATAGGATTTGAATTATCGAGCATTTCTCGTTTTGCTGTGTATTAGCTCATGTCTCGTTTTGTTCTGTACTAATGATTTTAATGTCTTGTTATTAATGTCATTGCAATACTCGCCATACACCCAAAAAAATACTGGGAACCCCCCTACACCAATAGCCACATTACTGTATGTACTATCAAAAAAAACTATCATGAAGTCACTCTCACTCAAAAGGAAAATATCGGTAAGAGTGTTGGTCTGTGTCACTTTGCTCGCATGTTTTTCGGAGTGCTTAGGTATGAAACTCTGGGTTATTACTTTGCTTGGATGTTTTTTTAACCAATTGGATTTGACTGTAGCGTCATCTGACGCTAGAAACCACATTATTGGCCTCTCTATGTTAAAATTTGCTTTGAGGACATTTTCGACACGTATGGCACAGTTTCGAACGGTTTCCACACTACGAGTTCTTACACTGTATGGATTTTGATCTCCCCAGTGAAGATCATCCGTTCGAATGTGAATTCCTATAATAACAGGCTTTTGCTTAGAAAACTTTAAAGCAGACTTTGCCTCAATCAGTTGCTGTTCAAAAAAAGGGGATTTTCTAAACAGGATCTCCACGGCACAGCCTAGCAGCGTGTACGGATCAGTAGACGTAGGAAGCCCGAGAGTGCGCCAGCGTTCCTTGAGGCGAGGATTCCTTTCCAGCTGTTCTGCAAAGTACCAGAGGGACTCCAATGACTCTACTTGGTTATTAAATAAATCATCCATATCAGCGTCTTTGGCGACCCAATTGTAAAAGTGTGACTCTTAAAAAAATCTTGACATTGATGAGTCAAATCCAGGAATAGCATAATTTCCAGGTTCTAAAAAAAGTCTCTTGCGATTATATGTCTCTGTGTTTGGTCTGATAGTCCAGTCGATAAAAAAAGGCAATAAAAAATCATCTAGTCTTTCAGGACCACCCCAGTGAATGAAAAAAAAAAATCTGGTTAAGATAGCGAGGTAAAACACTGATATAATCCCGTAGATGCGGAAAAAAAATCCTCCGCATCCATTTCCCGTACCGTCGCACCAGTATCCAAAAAAAGGCGTGGAGTTGACTCTAGACAGGTTTTTCAAGGAATCGTTGTGGAAACGACTGTATTCAGTTATCCATGGTCCTTGGCAAATGTCGTTAATTTCACATTGCCTTAATCCGGGAAAAAAAAGGAAGTTCAAGGGACTTGTAGGGATTTCAACGTGGAAAAGGCGACCTGGAAAAAAAAAAAAAATATATATATATGATCACAAATTAATATATGCAATAAATACAAAAAAAAAAAACATCTTAGAAAGTTAAAATTAAGTTAAACAAGATATAAAGAAGGTAAAAAAAACGGATGTAATCTTGTCTAATCCATCACTATCTTTTGCTTTGTCTTCAGACCATCCAGTAAGAGTGTATTCCTTGACTGCACGAGAGGTTTCATCAGAGTTTAGTTTAGTACAGTTTCTAAACTTTAAAAAGGGATCATTGTCAAGGCCTATTTATTAAATAGGGTGCAACAGCATCGTCATATTTGTTCCTTAAAGACTCAGTCGGCTGGACAGGGGCTCTGCTTAAACAATCAGAAAGATCTTGTTGTTTGCCTAGAACATATCTACCCATTAAATCAAACTTTGTTAGCTTGAGAAGCATCTGGTGTCATCTTGAGGGAAAAAGGGACTTTACTGAGTGGCTTAAAAATTTACAAAAGCGCTCTCCATGGGCTTATGGTCAGTTTCTTAACAACTTCCTGCCCATAAATTAGATAGCTGTGAAACGTCTGGACCACCAGCTAATGCACCTATCAATGTCCTGCCCCAACGGGGAAAGTGCGGACATACACGGGCTATTGAAAATATTAAAAATGTCACTCGTGACTAGGGCAACTTGACTTTTATTGAAACAGGGTTTCCCCCAGTCTAAGGTTTATTGACATTTTGTGGAGTCACAAATATTGTAAAATGGTGGAAAGGCAGCAAGAGGATTTCGAAGGTAAGATTCTTCAAGTAAATGACGCCACCATGTGTGAAAGAATTTTGATACACACAGTTATGATTTTCACAAAATCTGTCACGCCCTGTGTTTTTAATAAAACTGGAGCAACCTAATTAAATATAGTTGAGGCTTTGAGAAAGTTTCAGGCTAAAAAATCTTTCACTCGGTTACAGTTACAATGGGGTTGTTTGACAAATTTTGACATCAGAATTATGAAAATGTGAATAGCCCCTTGGTATGCCAGCACTCCCCTTCCCCCCGTTTCGGCAAGACATTTTGTAGGTGCATAATGACAAGTAATTCACATTTAATGAGAAGCATATAATACTTCTATGAGCTAGTAAGACTTCTGAGCAAGCTTCTTTCTTTTGACTGTCCTATGCGAAAATGGCATCTTTTTGTAGAAATTGTGGGATAAGCCCTTGAATTGCTGCCTTATTCTCAATAAACTGATTACGATAGTTTAAAGTACTTAATAGTCGCTGAGCTCCTTCTGTGTCACTTGGTGGAGTCGGAATTTCTCTCTTTTAAAGTGTCTGTCCAACATAATTATCCTTGTCTACTCTCAATTTAAATTTACATAGAGTTAAACTTTAATCCAAATTCGTCCCAAGACCATTGTCAACTTTTTATCTATAAAAAAACTGACAAGTGCATGGATGAGGAAGTCATCCACAATAATTCAAGAAACCTAAAAAAATCTCTCTGGTTAATATCGGGAACGGGCGAAAAATAAAATGGGAGTCTACAAAAAAAATAGCGTTCAACTTGTGTTGTAGCTTAGAGCTAGCACCATCTATAGGAAAAAAAAAGAATCCTGTAAAAGCGTCTAATGAAGAAAAAAATCTGTTGGTAAGTTTTAAAAAAACTTCCTCGATTGCTACCATAGGATGATTTACTCGTTTTTGCAGCTTCCTAAAAAAATACCATAGGATGATTTACTCGTTTTAGAGCCCTACTGAGATCAATACAGAAAAAAACTTCATCTTTTGTTGTAGGGCCTTTCCTTTCTCTTATTTGTCGACCATCAAAAAAATAACTCAAGGCGCGTGCTCCTCTTGCCTGACAATGATATCACCCTGTTCAAAAAAAAGCAGCAGCTTTTCTCTTATTGGGTCGTGTAGGGCAATAACTATCTTCTAAAAAAATTGAATAACCAGGGTAACTCAATCGATTGAGTGGTAACCGGACTGCATGATGTACTGATTTGTGTACTGGTTGCACAGAAAGCAATGGATAACGTCAAACGACCAACCTATTTGTAGAACACAACCGCTTTTTGCATAATTTCAAGCGTTTTATACGCGGAAAGCAACATTTCTAATTCTGACCACAACACACAAGAGCATTCATAGATGTTTTATTATGATTCCCTTGCCAGTCAAGTGATACGACAAACTACCAGCTATTATACAGTATATACACTACAGGAAACCTACACAACTAGACTGACTGATACGAAAAACCGATAAAACACAAAAAAAACCCTCTGGAATTGTGGCTAAGAAAACATGGAAACTTGCTGAAACGTACAAAAAAACTTAATAAGCCTTTTTCCCGTTCAATTCTAGCGACCGCTGTTTTAGTACGCAACAGACTCACTTGCGTTTAGAAGTAAAGAAAGTAGAAAAAATGTTGTCATTACAATAGCTCTTGAAATTTTGAATCTTCTCCGGCCAACAAGATCTAGAGTTTGCGAGCTCTAATTCCGAGGGTGCTAGCGTCACACAATAAAACAAGAACCGAACAATGTACAAATTTTTTTCACCAAATTTACATTCGATCAACCTCAACTCAACGTATTTTTCTGATTCAAATAAAAATTATTTGACATATGTACATCACGGCTTTTAAATAATAAAAAAACTGACGGGTTTTGCTCTGTTTTGCTCTCACGGATCACGGAAAGGCAAACGAGGATTTAGACCACTGGATATCGGCTGGTGTTCATGTTGGCCATCGGACATATTAATTAAATCTCAAATCGGACATAATTAAATCTCCAATTCACCAACAAAAGAGTTCACGATTCAGCTATTATTATGTATGTGAAAACTAGAACTATAAGGGCATTTTTATGTGGATTGAGTGAGTTAAAAAAAAGACAATATTCACTCGCCGTTAACTTAGGACTCAGTCTCAAATGTTGATTGTCAGTCGAAATTTATTATTCATAAGTTATGCAAATGAGATGTTGATTCGTGTGGCTTGGAAAGAACAAGATGGCGTATTAAACTAAACTAAAACTAAATTTAAATTAAAAAAAAAAACCGACCAAAAAGAGAGATGTTTTAAAAATGGTTATAAGTATGAATATAAAAAAAAAACTATCCGTGTTTGAGTCTCTATTTGGTCTCGATCTACTCCATATTTTTGGCTCTTCTATTAATCCTCAAATCAACAGCGAATGCTATGATATTGAAAATAATCCGTTAATGCCAATTGATTGATATTGATTGAAATTCTCGTGAACTACATTTTAGCAAAAAAAAGGGAACTGGCGGTAAATTAGAATAGTGCGAGCTGCTTCGGTGTTTCTAAAAAAAAAGTTGTGTAAAAAGATAAAATTTAACACTGTGAAAAAAGGTAGGTGAAATAAAAAAATGACGTTTCGGACGTTAAGCCTTTGTCCGATTTTACACGAATGGAAGGAAATAGATTGAACGCGGCAAAAAATGGGAATATGAACGGAATCAAACTGACATGTTTACATGGTGATAGGGCTGATTTGTACTTACCGTTGACCAAATAGAAATAAATCAGTGAAAAAAAAGGAATAAAAGAAAGTATTACCAGTCTGAGGAATCTGTTTCTTCTCATAATGCCTTAAATACTTTGTACAATGAAGACAAAACCGTTCTCGTGCATATACATAGTAAAAAAATTACGTGCTGGATTACGTAGCAAACGCTGTGACCAATCCAGTTCGTTTTCGTTTATATATCTATTGTCTTGTTGTAATCGTTGTCACGCATTCTCTCGAGCATTATCGAGTTGATTTCATGGAACTATAAAGGCAAAGACAGGACCTCTCAAAATAAAGGAAATGAAACCTAAAATCATTTTTTTTTTAACTAATTAAATTGGTTCATTTCATAATCTCGTCAAATCGTGACTCGACTCGAAGTTTGCAAAATTTTACGATTGCTTTATTGACCTCACGCAATACGTTTGTTCGAAAAAAAGCGAGGTGCTACATCATTGTTCCTTTTCAAAAAAACTGATGTGAAAAAAAAAGAATGAAATCTACATCATGCACGAAGGATGACAAAAAAAACACTATTTCATTTTTTTTCTTCATTTCAGACATTTTTCAGCTGGTAATAAAAAAATGAACTAACGTAAAGTTCCCTCAACGTTAACTCAAGTCTAACTTCATGTCAACTCAAACTTAACTCAAGCTATAACTCCGGATAGTTAGCTGATGACGTTCCCGAAAAAAAAGATCCCTAGACTAGTCCCCTCTACTAACTCTGGTTAAATCAACCAAATAAAAAAAATGAAAACTACAATACAACTTACAAAACTGTAAAAACTGACATAAAAATTAAAAAAATGGGCGCTGCGAGATGAAGATATCAAGTGATGCTGAAGTGAGATTAACCGCCATCAACCAACCAAGAAGATCAGGTATAAATCGCCAGCAACATCTACAAGGAAGAAAAAAAATTGGCTGATCATGCAATGGACTATACGGGGAGTGTTCAATTTCACTGTTGAAAATCACTTCTTGCATGCAGTCAGTGTTTGGATCTTTGTATTTATGTTATATTCTTCAACTTACATTCTAAATTGTAGCTTAATTAATCGATTAGTGTACTACAAAGTAAAGATGACTGTCACATACTCGAAAATATTTGTATTAATTAAAGAAGAACACATCAGTTTCTTGTTGTGGAATGGTTGATTTTGATTCAACTTGCAAATAATAGCTCGACCAAAGACACTCTAACACGTTTTTTTTTTCTTTTGCTTCGATTTGCTTTTACTGAGAAGGCTATATTGTTTTTAACGTGGCCACCTGTTCAACTATTGTCCTTTTAAGCGTAATAAGTTTTGATACGCGCACTGAACTGAGCTGATTATTGTTTAATATTTTGATTTTTTGGAAAAAAAACATTAACATTATTTCACACACTGGAAAAAATCGCTCGCTTTAAAGGTTAAAAAAATGATGTAAACATGATGTAAGTGTCCAAAATTCTGTAAATTGAATGGAAAAAAAAAACATCAAATTTAGAGAATTTTGGACATTTACATCATATTTACACCAAATTAAAAAAATTTAAAGCGCGCGATTTTTTTTCAATGTCAACT